GCCCAGGAGTTGGAGGTTGCTGTGAGCTGTGATGCCACAGCACTCTACTCAGGGGGACAGCTTGAGGCTCTGTCTCAAAATAAAATAAAATAAAATAAAAAAGAAAATAGAACACCCATCTCCCTATCACTGTAGGAGTTTAACTTAGGTATCTTTTCCTGAGATGTAATTATACGCTTGTCATATAAAGAAGCTTTGGCCGGGTGTAGTGGCTCCACAACTATAATCCTAGCACTCTGTGAGGCTAAGGCAGGGAGATTGTTTGAGCTCAGGAGTTCCAGAACAGCCTGAGCAAAACCCAGACCCCATCTCCACCAAAAATTGAAAAGCCAGCAGGGCACTGTGGAGAGTGCCTGTAGTCCCTGCTACTGGAGAGGCTGAGGCAAGGGGATCACTTGAGCCCAAGAGGTTGAGGTTGCTCTGAGCTATGATGCTATAACACTCCACTCAAAGCACAGAGTGAGACTGAAGGGGGGGGGGGGGAAGGGAAAGGATTTTTATTATTCCTTCAGATAAAGGCAATTAGCAAAACAAACTGCTATTTCAATTACCAGGTAAATTTAGGATGGACTTCATAAAAAATCTGCAACAAATGGTACAGTTAAATCTTATTAAGACAAGATGATATTAATCTGAAGAATTTATATATGTAATGGCTAAAAAAAGACTGGTTATAACTGCTCAGCTGAATAAATAGGATAAAATTTCTTTGTTTTTATAATCACATTCCTAGATTACCTATGATACATTGTAATCTGTATATGCTTATTAAATAATAAAGCTGCTCTCTCCTGTTTGTGGAGAGGATTCTCTAGGTTGGCAGGATTTTTATTCCTCAACACTTCCCCTACATAATCCTACCACACCCAGAGGCAGAGGCAGGTGGATTGCCTGAGCTCAGGAGTTCCAGACCAACCTGAGCAAGAGCAGGCAGGACCCCATCTCTAAAAATAGGCAGCTATTGGGGGCACCTGTAGTTCAATGGTTAGGGAGCCCACCACATGCACCAAGGCTGGTGGGTTCAAACCTAGCCTTGGCCTGATAAACAAACAAAAAAATAGGTAGGTGTTGTGGAGGGCATCTGTAGTCCCAGCTACTTAGGAGGCTGACACAAGAGAATAGCTTGAGCCCAAGAGTTTGAGGTTGCTGTGAACTATGACCCCACAGCTCTCTACAGAGGGCAACAAAGTTGAGACTCTGTCTCAATTAAAAAAAAAAAAAAAAAGGCAGTCCCCGTGGCTTAAAGGAGTAGGGCGCTGGCCCCATATGCTGGAGGTGGCGGGTTCAAACCCAGCCCCCACCAAAAACTGCAACAAAAAAAAATAGCCAGACATTGTGGTGGGCACATGTAGTCTCAGCTGCTCTGAGACAAGAGGATCACTTGAGCCCAAGACTTCTGACATTGCTATGAGCTAAGACACCACAGCACTATAGCAGGGCAACAAAGTAAAACGGTCTCAAACAACAAAAAAAAAAAAACGAACAAACAACTCACTTTCCCCACACCTTGAAGGTTAAGTTCAAACTCTTTCACCATGGATTATAAGGGCTCCAATCTCCTGATCCTTACTTACCAAACTCTGTTCTTATTTTTAAGTACTTTTCATATCCATAGTTGAGTTGATCATCTTTTCTATTTCACAGCATTCTATTTTTGATCCACCCTAGGTTCTCTCTTACTTATTTTACTCTTATGCCTTTCATCTCTCATTCTTAGTAGTAACCTAATCCAGTGTTTCTAATGCCCAGCTAGTTGTTTTTCAGTAGGGGGTGAAAGTGGGGGGGTGTGTGTATCTCACTCTTGCTCAGGCGATCCACCTGGCTCAGCCTCCCAGAGTGCTAGGATTACAGGCATGGGCCACCTCACACAGCCTCTTATGTATACCTTTTTAATTCACCTGTAATAGCTGTTAGGTATATATTCTTGAAAAAGGTCGTCTTCTTGTTTTTGTTTTTTAATTTCAGATTAATATGAGGATACAATGTTTAGGTTACATTGTTTTCATTTCTAAGGTAAAGTTCAAGTTGTAGTTGAGCCCTTCACCGGGAGGTGTGCTAAATATTGTGCATATTAGGTGGGAATCTACCAGTCACTCTTTCCCTCCTCCCCTCTCCTTCACTAGAATACACTTGTGTTTTCTTTCATATGGTCATGTAGTTATTTATATATTGGTTTCATATTAGTATTGAGTACACTGGGTACTTGTTTTTCCATTCTTTACAACACCCAGCTATTTTTTTGTTGCAGTTTGGCCAGGGACGGGTTTGAACGCGCCACCCTCAATATATGGGGCCAGTGCCCTACCCACTGAGCCATAGGTACTGCCCTTGTTTTTCCATTCTTGTGATACTTTACAATGTGTTTCGTTTCAACCCCATCCTGGTAAACACAAAAAGATGTAAAGTCTCCATTTTTATGGCTGAATAGCACTACATGGTACATATACCACAGTTTGTTAATCCATTCATGGGTTGATGGGCACTTGGGTTGCTTCCAACTCTTGGTATTTATGAACTGAGCTGCAACAAACATTGTGGTGCAAATGTCCTTGTATGTTCACATTTTTCTTTATGTTTGTGATAACTTCATGTTATTATACTCAAGTTTACTTCATTGGTTCTGAGTTATCCCATCAATTTTATCATCTGCACCTCCCACACTTAATGTGTCCATTCTCCTTGTGACAGACACCTAATTTATTTCCAGTATCTCTCTACCAAAAATGTTATAACCAGTATGTTTCCTATAATGTCTCCTTAGGGACTTGCAGGAAATATATACAGGGAAGTAATTGCTGTGTAATTATGTAAGTCATAGTTAATTTCACTAAATACTGCCAAAATAGTCTCCTGAACAGGTAGGCTGGTTTACACTCCTACCTTGCAGCATATGGGAATTTCTTTCACATATGTGCCAACACTTGATATTATTCAACATCCTAATTTTTGCCAATTTTGTAGATGTAAAATTATTCTACATTGTTAGTCTTTAAAATCCAAAACCATCTAGCTCCACACACAGATCAGACATAAGTGAAACTACCCTATAATCCCTCCCACACATATTTAATGTTTGTTATGTAAACACCTAATGTTTACATTAGCATGACTTTACAATTCTAGAAGACCTGAATAATACTGTCACTGTTCAAATGGTTTAATTGTTCATTACAAATTCCTTAGAAGATGTGTCAACTCTTCAATGGAAAAGATTCGTCAACAATCTGCATGCTAAGTTTTTCTGAAATTTTTTTCTCAAAAGTCCTCACATTCCTGGCTTCCACCAATCCTGTTACTGTTGTATCATGATCTGTACCCAATTTTAATCAAGCTCCATAATGAAAGACCCATTTTAAACTCAAAATATTCTAAATTATTTTATTTATTATTATTATTTTTAGGATCATCAAGCGAAGCAGTGGGAGTGGAGAAGGAATAGTTCTCAAAATAGTCTGATCTTGCTTTTCTTCCCTGAGATTGCCAAAGCTCTGTTGCGCTGGTGTTCTCCCTTTCTATAGTAAGCAATAAACCAGTATTGTTTTTTTTT